GAAACGATACAACTTTGGAGCAGAGCAAACACAGACCTCTAAAAACATTTGAGGTATGATCAGGTGCCATAGAGGAGTGAGCATCCCCTGCCGACCGGTCACAACTGCAGTGTGCCCCTTGTCATGATCGGAAAAAACGGGGAAAACGCAGACAATTCAGTGTGAAAATAATGGCCTAAAAATTTTTATGAAACATGTCGACGTTATTCAACATTCAATTTAATTAATGATAGATTATATTTGCTCACAAGGCCACCGTATCGACAATAGAATTTGCGAAAAATGCCTTTAAAAGAGACTGTTGATATTACTGTTTCATCAACTTGTTTGTCGATAGCTTGCCTTGTTATTTGTTCGTACGTAGAGCACGCTTTTGCATATCAAATCAACTGGGAGACATAAACTCCATATGCAGGTGATAATGGTATTTTGCTGAATAATTTAGGGAAGTTGACGATAAACAAGTTGTTGAAGTCATCACGTTTATCATAAAGTGTAGTTGTTAGGTTGCGATCAATGTCTTTTTCTAGTAATATATCTAAATATGAGAGAGAGAGAGAGGAGCTGTTGTTCAATTTGGGACAAACAATTTCTGTAAATAGGCTATATCTAATTCCTCATTCTCTTCCGTCTCTATTTGTGATAAATATTATATACTCAGTCTGTTGCAAAGTATAAAATTACCAAAGAAAGAACTTACCTAAATCATACAAACTATTAAAAAACTTTGACCAAAAATTTGAAGTTTTCTTTGTGTACATGTAAAGATGACTTTATTCTGGGGACGACTTACTAGTATAGGGATGTCGAACTATCGTACTGAAAAGTATTGTGTAGTTTAGTATGGTGTACTAATAGGACAATTCCATCTAGCGAGAACGAGAAAGACATAAATCATGTAAATGCTATTTACAAATCAGGAAAGTTTTCTTAAGGACAGTTTATATAACTAAAATGAATAGGTTTAGGTGCATAGTTTTTAATTTTTCATAATTCAAAGTTTCACAATAATAGGATTTCAAGTGACAAAAATTTGTATAGATTAATAAAGATGATTGCAGAAAGATAGTATTTTTAATATCATAGAAAGTTAACAATTGTAAATGTTTTATAAATTTATTTTTTGCATCATTTACAACCAAAAAAGGTCCAAAGTTATATACTAATCCAGCATCTATTTTTGGTTTGTATCATCTATCCTTAAATTTTGCAAAAAAGCTATTACCTTAATCCTCAAAAAAAAAAAAAAAAAAAAAAAAAAAACCTCCTCAAATATTTACATTATGTTTTATAAACATAAGTGTATATCTACTTGGAGGAGAATACTTACTCGTTGAAAAAGCGCCCACCACAAAAATTAGAATAAGTAGTGCTGTTCTCATCTTGTCCGGTCTGTTTCTATCGCCCAGTCCTTAGGACTGAATTATTTTGTTTATGACACCCGTTTCTATCTCTTTCACGCGTGAATTCCGCTAGAAAGAATGGTCATTATCGGAGCATCTCCGAAAACTACGCGTGTAAGTAGCTTAAGGGTTCTTAAGAGATCAAATTTCTTATTAGTTTCAATCTTTTTAATTCCTATGTTAAAATCTTTCAACATTTTTCGAGAGAATGGTGAACAATTATTATCTTTCTTGACGTAGGTATGATTAAAGGTAGGGTTGGATGGTAATATTTTAATAAGTCTTTATTTCTCTTTTTCTAAGGAAATTTGGGTAAATTTTTGTCGTTATCCTGGTCCATCCGTCTGTCACAACATCTTACTTCTAAAACTCCTCTTACATTTTCATCTTTTGGAATACGATTGTAAAATCTTACAAAATTAATATGCTATTAAAAATGCTTGTATAAAAACATCTTTAGAAAATTCATAATAAAAAAAATAATAAATACTATTTTCAGAAGTTATTTGCGAAATTATAATTTGTCTTGGTCATAAGTTATTACGTAAAACGGAACAGGATCCAGCTCTTCTTTCATTTTACACAGTAGCCAAAACATCTTTTGGAATATGACTAGTAGTATAGGTCTTGTATAGATAGGCATAAGGTTACGGAATGTTAATTTTCATCCAAGACATGAAGCCAATCAGGGGTCGAAAACGACGTTTTTCTATTCGAAATTCTGTGTCCAAAACTCAAAAATAAAATTGACCAGAAGTTTAAATCATATTTTGGAATATGGTTGGTAGTGTTCTGTTGACGTGAAATAAGGTTTTTGAAAATTCAATCAAATCATGTGGATCAATTTGGGACCGAAAATTTTAATCTTTTTTTTCACAAAAAACCTTCAATATGATGCTCTGAATGGACCATTTGCTCCCTCTCTCCCTCATTAGAGGATGACTAAGCAATTAATGACATACAAAATCTGCGTCATTAATAAACTTTCGTCTTATCCATTAAAGAATTAACAGCATCCACTGATGATACAAATTATTCATAATGTTTTCGTGGATATTAACTTATGATACAAAAATTTCTCATCCAAAAATGATAGAAAAATACAAAAATGTAAAATGAATTCATCCACCAATGCTATGTAAATTAATAAGTTGATTCTGTGTCAAAATGGTTCCTACATGTTCATTCATCAAACTTCCGACAGAGAGTCTTTGGTACATTCATGCACCGCTTTCCGCCTGTAACCTAAAGTATTTAATGTACTTTGAGGTCAGATGTCGCTGTAAGGAACATAGATCAGTAATCTGATCCGCCACTGGATTGATATAACTATACCCAACAGGTCAAATCTCTCACATATGGTGTCCCTAAAAACTTCTGGGGCGATTATATATGATATATTTTTAGTACCAGTGGGTGTTGGACACTTGATAGGAAATGATGTCTCTTGAAAACATTTATTCCTATAAAATATTATATATTAAAGTAAGTGATTGACACATTATTTTTCTATAAAAATATTTTAACTCACAGGGATCAAGCCCCTGTGAGGCATATCACAGTATTACACGGAAAATCTACAGAGAACATGTTTTGTGCGGTTTCTGACCTATGTTGACTTTCCATGTATTTCCAGGATTCCTCTACATTTTACACAGTTAGAAATCGTCGCTTCCGTTGCTTTCAGTTTCAGTGGTATCGGGGACTTTTGGTTTACTGCATGTTTTATACGGCAAGTTCAAATTGGCAGACGATTGTTGGACTGTATTCAATCCTTTTTGAAACTAGATCTCACCCGACACCGGTAGGAAAAGTGTAGATATAGATTAAAATCAAGCGTGAACCGAGGAACCCACTGAAATCCAAGATGGCAACTGTCATACCATCACTCTGTTTATATATACAGTAATATAATATTTTCAAAACTTACAATAATTTCAGCATTTTTTTATTTTTACTTTAATGAGTGTATTCAGAAAGAAAACACCTAGAAAAAAACACAGTCTTAATACACCAAATACACCCTCCTGACACCAATTAAGCGCCTATGTCCGGAAGGGGACGGAAGATTACCATCTTATCATTAAAGAAACAGCATCCACTGATGATACAAATAATGTTTTCGTGGATATCAATTAATGATACAAAATTTCTCATCCAACAATAATTTAAAAAATACAAAAATATAAATGAATGCATCCACCAATACAATGTAAATTAATTAGTTGATTTTGTGTCATAATGGTTCTTACATGTACATTCATGTACCTGTAACCTTAAGTATTTAATGTACTTTGAGGTCAGATGTCGCTGTAAGGAACATAGATCATTAATCTGATCCGCCACTGAATTGATATAACTATACCCAACAGGTCAAATCTCACATATGGTGTCCCCAAAAACTTCCGGGGCGATTTGTGACACATTCAGGCCTTATTTTTAGTAGTGGGTGTTGGACACTTGATAGGAAATGATGTCTTTTGAACACATTGATTCCTATACCAAGGGGATTGCTCCCGGTGTGTAAAAAATATTTATTAAAAAATAATATATAAAAGTAAGTTGTTGACACATTATTCTTCTATAAAAAAAATTTTTAACACACAAGGAGCAAGCCCCTGTGAGGCATATCACAGAATTACACGGAAAATCTACAGAGAACAAGTTTGGCGCGGTTTCTGACCTACGTTAACTTTGCATGTAATTCCAGGATACCTCTACATTTTAAACAGAAATCGTCACTTCCGTTGCTTTCAGTTTCAGTGGTATCGAGGACTTTTGGTTTACTACATGTTTTATACGGCAAGTTCAAATTGGCAGACGATTGTTGGACTGTATTCAATCCTTTTTGAAACTAGATCTCACCCGACACCGGTAGGAAAAGTGTAGATATAGAATAAAATCAAGCGTGAACCGAGGAACCCCCTGAAATCCAAGATGGCAACTGTCGTGTACCATAACTCTTTTTATATACAGTACTAGTAATATAATATTTTCAAAACTTACAATAATTTCAGCATTTTTTTATTTTTATTTTAATGAGTGTATTCTGAAACACCTAAAAAAAACACATTCATAATACACCAAATACACCTTCCTGACACCAATTAAGCGCCAATGTCCGGAAGGGGACGGAAGATCATCGACTAAAACTTTATTAGGACTGTTAAGAACGTGATTTAGGGCGACAGGCGTCACACAATAATTCAGAAATCTCTGCAGTTTTGGGGTTTAAACAAACTAGAACATACTATACTAGTTTTAAAGTTGCACTAGAAATGATAAATGGATGCTTATGCTGAGTGAATAAGGTAACCCAAAATGTACAATATTAAACACTAAGGGAAAATGATGAGAAAATGAAAATTCTTATTTTTTATAATGTCCGTGACGTCGAAGATTTTAGTGCATCGTGCCTTCATGATAATTCCTGTTAAATCACCCTAAATTGATATCAGTTTACAACAATTTGATATGAAATTTTGATGACCATATAAGGTAAAGATTCTTTTATATTATGTGTGGCATTTTGCTTGATCATGTCGTCAAATATTTATTCTGTGCAACAAGTCCACTTGTTATAAATGTTAGTTTTTTCGCTGAGTTTGTACTAAGTGGCTAGATTAACAGCCAGCACCATGGCCAGAATCGCACCACCCACTATAAACACGGCCAACACTACAGTCACTATATAACAGTAACACTTCTGTCGTCTAACACTCTCTTCCTCTTCTTTTATTTTCACCTGAAAAACGAAATCATTAAGGTTCAGGGTGAAGTTAATTGTTTTATACCTATTGTCGCGACATTGAATGACGAAGATCATGATTCTCCCCTTATTATAATGATGTGTATTCTGCATCTACGCGAAAATAATTCTATAGAAAGCAAACTTCAAAAGAGAAAAAAAGCTTAATATTATACACATGTACTTATTGTCCTATTATCGCATGTTGCAGATTTTATTTAGGAAATAAAATTTGTCAGAAAGGACACTATTTAGACGTTCGTAGAGTTGTCGTTCGTTCCTCTCTCACACACCTCTGCAATGGGCTCGCGTCAAGATTTTTTACGAAACGCAAAAAACATAACATTTCAAGATTATTTCAAATTAAACCAATAGTTTTATATCTATTTCGTAAATATCTATCTTTAAGGACTATCATTAGCTCAGACATTTAATTATAATGAATTAAAACAAACGCACTATTTTTCGTGCTTATCACTGTGATATACGCGAGCCAACGACAGAGGTAAATGTATGAGCCGATGGTAGAGATCGGTCTTATGTATGTTTTGTAAGAATTTCGCATGAAACCCTGGTAGCGAAGGAATTCTGGGAATGTTGCACCAGAAAATTTGCATGACGTATGTACAGATTTCATTCCGAATTTTCTCTGTTCTTACACGTTAGTCTATTGAGTTCGCTTCGCGAGCGGCGTTTCGCACCGCTCGCTACGCTCGCTAATATGATTATGTTTAGTTTTGTTTTTTTATGTCTACTAAACTATACTCACATTTGGCAACTGAAGTCTGTAAGGAAATTTCGAATCGTTTGGAACGATTTTGTTCTGGGACAGTCCTTTTTCGAACACGTTCCCCAGAGAGACCCCCGACTTTCCTGATTCTGATGGAGTGGGAACACCGTTCCTGCTATTATTTAAGGAGGCGGAAGTTGGCGTTCGGAATCCCCCTAGTTCTGTATCCTCATCGGATGTGATTGATTCCTCCCGTCGATTAATGAGCTGTGAGATTGACCTGGGTTCCTGATCAACACCCAGTGGGGAACCTGGTGGGGGAGTGACGTAGTGTCTTTTTTCTGTGGCACGGTGATGAGTTGGCACTTCCCGCAGACTCTCTCGCTCGTATTCGGAGGAAGCAGATGTCACGAAAGTTGCTTCCCTGCATGGATTTATGGGAATTGCAGGGTTATTTGGTAGGATACCTTCTATGTCATCCATAATTCATTCGATACCATGATTCATTCTATCGAAGAAAAGTTGGCCTTCTATTGAAACAAAATGGAGATGTAATAGAAATTTGTTTTGTGGATGTTCCTCTAAATAATTAAAAGTCATGTAACTGTACACAAACTGCATTTGAATAACATGGTTATGAAAATTACGTAGATATTTTAATTATTTATCACAAATACCCCGTACCATTTGATTAACTTGTCAAACTTATATAACTTGTGTTATATGAATAAGCTATGCCAAATGTCCTTTAATTCCAAAGACTTGGTCATATTTATAATAATTGTGCTTCTGTACAGAAAAGAGGAATTTTTTATGAAGTATGATTATTTTTAAATATTGGTCTACATTTTTCAGCAGCACTTTTAAACAACTCAAGGTTGTTTAAGCTTTTCAAATGTTAAAAAATACCTGGTTTCGACTCGAACAAGGAATTTAAATTTTGTTACCGGGGTAATCATATTGGGTCATAAAATATAACGACGTGAAGATATTTATTTATAATACAAGGAAGACATTTCTTCATTCAGTTCATTATACGTCTAGCGTAAAACTAGAATAATCCATGACTTCTTGCCATTGAGGGTTTAATAACTGTAAGTATATTGTATAAATGCACAGGTTTTACATTGTTTTGTTTTTTTCATTTGCATTCAAAATTTAGAGACATAAATGAGACATTTCAAAATTTATTCGGTTGTGTATACTACATATTGTATATTACAATTCATTTTTCGAGTGTTCGATATGTGAACCTCTCCAACTCATGTACAACTTAGATTCCTAAATACTATTTTCAGACTCATATATACATGTACGTATTTAAGCTATCCAAGATTATATTCGAATGAATCACTCAACTCGTATTCAACAGGAGTAAAGAAAATCAACATATGTCTATTATTAGAGAAGTGCGAGAGATCACAGTCCCTGGAATTAAAGATGGATACCACATTTCTGTAGATAATTATGGGAACATCGCAGTAAGTGATGGATATGGGCACCTAGTACAACTGGATCCGTCGGGATATTTGATTCAGAGAATTCTAACTGCTGGCGTAAGTGAGGGCTACCACTCAGTAACCAAAGATGGCGATTTATTGTTCGTGGATAAACCAAACCATACAATTAATATGGCGGACAATGCAATAAAAGGGGCAAAACTCATAACATCCGGAAAATGGCTACAATTTATGGACACTGGCTCTTGGAAACCATTCAGTATTTATTCTTCCAAACTCAACGGAGACCTTCTTTTGGGTATGAGCAAATGTGGCGAGGTGAGGGTAACGAGGTTTGATGAAACAGGAAGAAAAGCCCTTCAGAATATAGACAGAGATTTTAATGGAGAGGACTTATTCCAGCTTCCCCATTACCTCACTGAAAACTTCAATGGAGACGTCTGCGTTTCAGATTATGATAAAAATGCAGTCATAATTGTGGATAGAAAGGGTGACCTTCGGTCCACCTATAAAGGTCATAGATCCTATTCTGACTTCCGACCTTACGGAATCTTTGCCGATTCTGACGGACACATCCTTGTTTGTGACATGGAAAATGACTCTGTCCACTGCCTTGATCAGGAAGGACAATTTCTCTGTTTTGTTCTAACGCCAGGACATGGAATTAGCGGCCCAAGTGGATTAGGCATCGATAATCAATCTGTTCTTTACTTGACACAGTATAACACTAACAAAGTCAAGATGTACAGGTTCAATGTAGGTTCCTAATGGCTAATTAACAAGGGAGACGGACTAGAAGACACTGTGTTGTGAAATTAATTTTGTTTCATCATCCATATATAGCATATTCTTTATTATCTATCTTTAAGACTGAGAAAAATATCAACTTATCCTTCGAATTTGTAATCAAGAAACTTTATCTAAATGAAAAGATAGAGGACTTATACTCGGGCATTCAATTTATATCCATTCTGCCCAGTGTTAGTATAAATTGTATAAATACAGTAATAAAATACCTGAATTAAAATAATCGAAAAAAACTTTATGTTTTGGTGACTAGAACAGGTTCACTGCAGAATATTGTTTTGTGTTCAGTGTTTAAACTTTATGTTTTGGTGACTAGAACAGGTTCACTGCAGAATATTGTTTTGTGTTCAGTGTTTTAACTTGTATTTGAATTGTAGAATACATTGCAACAAAATCACAAAGTAGTTGGGCGAACAAGGCATGCAAAATGTCTATAGCTTTAAAAGTATATAAAAAAAAAATCGTATTCAGTTTGTGAATTAATTGTATTTCGAGTAAAGCGCTTCTTATTGAAAAGTATGAAATTATGACAAGCAAAACTTTCTGCAAAAATTCTCTCTCTTTTTTAATGGTATTTTTGGGGCTTGAAGACAGACAATAAAAAAATCCAGAATTTTTTTTTCTTTGAGACTAAAATGCTAACCAACTTACGACAAATATCGGCATTTAAATATGTATTGTTTGTGATATGACCCTTGACTAGTCCCCCTCCTTGATGAAAAAATAGGGGGGAAATTATGTTTTGGAAATGAAAAAAAGTTGTGTTTGCTATTAATATTATGAATTTACACAAGTCAGTATGAGATGAAAACTTCGGTATTTGCCTTACAAATTTCTGTGAACTCGAAGACATCCATGTCATTTGACCAGTGAATATATAGAATGAGAATTATAAACATATTTTTTAGCAATCATAAAAATAGAATCGTCATTACCACTTCACAAAATTAAGAAAATTTTAATCCTGCTCACAGTGCTCGATCGGCCAAAAGGTAATATATCTATAGCTTCCTTTTTGAATAATCCAATCTTAGCAATACACCTGTACATTGTTTGAAGTTTTCCTCATAACAAAAAAATATATATATCCAGTAAACAGCTGAATAAGTAAAATGCAGTTTGCTAATGACACTTTTTTGCAATTGACGTCAAACAAAATATTGAGCTTTTTTGATCATCCTTTCCCTTTTTTTTCAACAATAATTCAGCATTTATATTTAATTTTTACACAGGTACTTTGAGAAAATAATGTGTAGGCTTCAGCCATTTTGCCTATCAGAAATATACGCCACTGAATATAAAAGAAATTTGTGTTATAATTGAGATTTTTTTATTTTCAAATTTCTTATATGTAGGCATTTTGCTCGCCTTGTTCACCCATCTCCTTTGCTACAGACCTATATACATGTATATGGGGAGGGAGCAATCCACCTTCCTCCACGTTCTACGGGCCTACAATAGCCGGATTAAAAGTGATGTCATGCAATGAGAGAGTGAGAGAGAGTGACGGAGTTGAATTCATTCAGATTATAGAATTGGAAGGAATCTCAATGAAAACTCTAATGAAATTAAACGTCATGATCTACCAACGAGATTACAGTCAAAAGGCCAAGAGACTTGCTATAACATTGAACTAATTAAAATACGAGTCAATGATTAAAGTTCAATTCATTCGAGAATCAAGTGCAAATAGACCGGAGACAAATAAAAGGATGGAACTTTATGAAATTGTACTTTTGAAACAAAAAGATTTCGCAGCTAGGTTAAGGACGCCCATGAAATATACGCATTTATATATTCAGGGAAAATGAATACAATTTTTAATATTTCTTTTAACAGCAGTAGTTTTGGTAAATGTGAATTGTGGTGATTGCATTTGTATATATCGGGTCTCTGCTGAGTTCAGCCAAAGTGACATCGCTTACATCAGCTGTTTGTCACGTGACAGGTTTAAAATTGGACCATATATGTACTACTACAAAGATCGTAAAAGTTCAACGATATACGGACATTCTTCCGCGATAAAATTTATTTTGTTTTCTTTGAGACAAATTCCTTAACCCGAAAAGTGCTGGGAGCAACTTCCTCATGCTTGAGAATTGTTTAAAATTTAGCCGTCTTTCTATAAACCCCAGACAAAAATGTAATACGCATAGGAATAATGTTAGATTACGGAATAAATAAACAATGTACAACCAGCTCCCAGCACTTTTCAAAACAGTAGGAATAATGGCTACACGTGTTTAAAAATTCAGAATTTATAGTGAAACGGATATCGTTGAACTTTTGATATTTTCGAGGGGCTTGACCCCTCATTCTAGCATGTTACTGTACAAATGTGCTCCATGCGGCTATATATATTGTCTACACATTATCAATTTAGTTTGACAATAAAATGTGGATTAATATATTTCAGAATATGTCTCTCTTTTTGTCTGACTACGCATGTTTCGTATTTATTTTTATTTTTACAAGCCACGATAAAAGTTTGATCCACGCCTCAAATACAGAGAAACTGCGTGTCAAACTAAGAAATGACGTCATCTCAGTAAGTACAGCGAGATCAAGCTGGCTTTCATTCTGCATACGCTAAGTGCTATTACGGCAAGATAAGTTGCACATCCATTTATTTTTATAACATTTATGAGAAACGAAAGTATTTCGTGTGTTTTAAAAAGAACATTATAGTATTTATTCATCGAGATTCATTTGTATTGTTTTAACGTGACGTCATAATAGCTCTCCCAAACCTCTGCATAGGCTGACGTAGATATGGGAGTCCTTAACCTAGCTGCGTTGTTAGAAAATTCAACAACAAAAAAATCATTAAAGAACAGGCTTTGTTTGATTAGTATATGAATATATTTTTTTATATTTCAATTTTGAATTTCATGCATTTTAATATCAATTTTAGTTTTGTCTTGAAATTTTACAATCGGGATCGGGCAAAAGTTCTTTTAAAAGCTTTAAAAATAGGCCCTTACCCTTTTCAATGCTACCAAAACTCAAAAAATAAACAAAACAAAAAAAATTGAAACATGATCAACCTGCTCAAAAAAAACCCTGTTCATTCAGAAAATGTAGGTCAGATGCAGCATCCAAAGCAAATCTGGAAGTTTGTATCCTTAGACAAATTAGATGCATCATCAAAACAAGTTTATGTCACGATGTGGCTAAAAGGTTGTTTGGAATGGACCTGTTCAAAATTTTTAACCAGATCACCCATCTGGAAAATGTATCCGAAGCAAGTATAGAAGTGTGGAAATCTAGATGTAACACTAAAGCGTAATCACTATAGGAATAACTTTTACAGTTACCATAAAATGGCACCTAATTCGAAAACATTTTTAGAGTCTATTCCAAATTACTATAATTATACAAGTCCTTTCTGGACTAATTTTGCAAGGATGATAGGGAAACACACTACCAGACTTGTTTTGGATGGTTTCTGGATAAATAATCAGGTTAATGTTTTTAGAGTTGGTTGATTCCAAGCTGACTTGCTCTGTATTGTTTAATGGACTTTTGAGCTTGAATACTGTTCGTTATCTCCATAAATTTCATGTATAATCCCTTTCGTGACAACTCTTACACTTAAAATGCAAACTTAACTCCCTTATTATATAGAGAATAATACATGGCAAAATCTGTATCACATCCCATATCAACCCGAGACTTCAATATCAGCCCGAGGGCCGAAGGCCAGATGGCTGAGGGTTTTTATGGGTCGAGGGTTGATATGGGGTGTGATACAGATTTTGGCATGCATGGTTGTTTTTATTATATATTTGAAAATAGTGTCAAAAAATCGTATTTAAAATTAATTACTGAATTTTTAAATAATTGAATGTGTACTGTTTTTGATGAATTTCCGTTTCTCATTTTTTTTTTCAAAGGCAATGCATTTAGCGATAAGAAATGAAATAATGTAATTATAAATTAAACAAATTATTACTTTGAATAATTACTTTTATTACGTACTTAGTAATAAATACAGGTTGTTTGCTTATGCGATATGCCTGACGTCACAATAGATACCGCCTGTATCAGCTTCCATAACTGATACAGATCATGCAGGGCTGATATGAATCTGAAGGGCTGATATGGATTTATATCACACCCCTAGTAGTTTAAACCTTAAAACAGTACTTGTGACAATACACCTTTTTTTGTTCACATTTTCTAATTCTAAATCACTGTTCTTTTATAATAAGCTACATGTCAGTAGTCAGTGCATGATTATTTATTTGTATTTTGCTCAAGGTGATGTTTGTAATAAACATAATGAAAATACCCTCTTCCAATCACATCCTGTATCAGCCCTTAACCAATACCAGCCCTTGGGCCTTCGGTCCTCTTTCTGATCTTGGTGTCCCGGGTTGATACAGGATGTGATAAATGTTATGTATTATTCTCTATACACGTTTATTTAATCGCTATATCAACCTTCTCAGTTTTGAATTGGGTCACCTTAAATTGCAGTTATACTTATAATTCATCGGAGAGGAACAAAATTACATAACATGCATACAATAGGGAAATGTTTCTCTGTCACAGTCGAGTCGTTGCTGACAAGGAAAGAGATTGCCAATTTGTTTCCATCCTTTGCTGTTATTTTTTTTCTAACATCCTTCCTTAAAATCTAGATAAATTTCATGTAATTTTTATCTCACAAATGTCCTTTGAGTTTCAGTATACTAGTTTCAGTATACTAGTATGTCGGAATTAATGGAGTTATTCTGACATTCCATTTTTCAGAATTTATTCCCAGAAAGAAATTTATCTCCAACTAGTCCTGTCTATGAAGTCAAGTGTTGCAGATAAGAATTCATCAAGTTATTCCAAGACAGACCTTTGGTTTTTCAAAACTTATTCCCACAATGTCATATGCACGACAATTTAAAAACTATTCTAGGAATATATATCTGACTTTCAATTAATGATTGTCATATAAGTAGGTGTAATGTTGGTTATTTTGAATATTTAGTGTTTTATTACTATAGTTGATTCATTATCAAATTTCAACCTTAAAAAAAGTGCTTTTTAACTTACCTTGTCATTTTTTTCAAGAGAACTTTAAATGGATTCCAGCGTAAAACAATGTGTGCAGAGTGGGTTTAATTTTTATTGTTTTTTAAAACAATGACACTATAGTTTCTGTTTTTTGTTTTTTTAATGAAAACAAATGATTTGAATTTTGAATGTTGTTAAAAGTT